ACGTATGTAGCAGCTCAATTCACATTTCAAAGTAAACAGTATGGTGTGATAAAATCGTGGCTCTTCTGTGCATGATGAACTCTCTGTGATTTAATGTGCTTGGTGTCCTAACAAAGGGTGGTTTGTTTCTGACCAGCTTTTACAGTGATCATCAAGGATGACAGAAGTACTAAGGCAGTTTCCCCCTGGTCACTGAGATCAGTAGTCACTGTGTCACCTCAGTGCAGCAGTCCCTGTAGCTACTGCCCTTTGTAGATGCTTGTTCATGAACTGGATTTTTCTTATCAGCTTCATTATGACCCATTCTAATTATGTAACCTCAAGCTTTTCATCCCATACAGATAGGCTCAGGAAAGCGGTTGGGGTTTTTTGTTTGATTTTTTTTTTTTTTAATTTCATTTTGCTGTCTGACTTTTATAAGATTTTAGTTTTGCTGTGAGGTTTCAACTTCTCTTCCCTTTTGGAGGTGTGTGTGGGTTTTTTCCATATTTTTTCTCAATCTATGAGAAATAAAAGAGCCTTTATCAGCAATAAATGCCTGTAAATATCTGCAGGGTGGGTGTCAGGAGGACAGGGCCAGACTCTTTTCAGTGGTGCCCAGCGACAGGACAAGGGGCAATGGGCACAAACTGAAGCACAGGAAGTTCCAGCTGAACACGAGGAAGAACTTCTTCCCTCTGAGGGTGATGGAGCCCTGGCCCAGGCTGCCCAGGGAGGTTGTGGAGTCTCCTTCTCTGGAGATATTCAAGCCTCGCCTGGACGAGGTCCTGTGCAGCCTGCTCTGGGTGACCCTGCTTCAGCAGGGGGTTGGTGATCCCCGGAGGGCCCTTCCGACCCCTACCGTGCTGTGTTTCTTTCCTCTGGTCTGTCCTTTCTGCCTATCATACTTCATTATCCACCTCAGTTAATTTACATGTTTCTTCCTGTTTTTTTCCCCTCCCTGAGTTGTTTGTGTCGGATTCTGTCTGCTTTGAACCTTTTCTGTTCACCCAGTCTTCCCGACTATTTATGTCCCTTACTGTGATTAGTGTCTCTTCCCTCGTTTCAAACAAAGATATGTAGCCTCTCACAGTCTCCGCTGTAAATTCTTTGTTTGCAATCCATATTTTCTGTCCTGTAGATCTGTTTCATCAGTCATGTGTCTTCTGTTCTTAGCTTTATAATCCATTTATCTCTCTCCTATGTGATCAATTTAATTTCCTTACAAAGTGCCAAAAACAAACCAATCATGAATTGACAAAAACTCCCATGAATTTTGAGACTAAGTTTAGAAAGAACATTGTGCTGGTGCTTTTGGGAGAGGAGGATCGTTCTTTAAAAATTTTATCTTGTAACATTGGAAACAAATCTCTTATCCAGAGGAAAATTATTTTAACTCAAGTTTTCAGAGAGGCCGTTGCATCTCAGTAGATAGTTAGCGTGTGACAACACATGCATGCTTACTCCTGCTTCCCAGTGTGAAATGTATGCGGCTTTGTGTTATGGTAAATACAGACTGCTGTACTTCCCTACTTCCTTGTGTTTTCTCCATCAGTATCTGCTGTTCCCAGTCTGGTCACAGGAGTTTATCAATCTCTGTCATTGTCAGAGAATGTGTAGTCTTTCTGTCCATTTAAAAATACCTCTTTTTGCTCTGGGCAATTCGATTCATCCTTTTCTCCCCATCTCACCCCCCGCCCCCCCTTGTCTGATGGTCTCTGCATTTATCATCCTGGCCTTGAGTTTGTTTCAAATCTGGTTTTGTTGCTTAGAGGGCATAGCTCTTTTGCTTGTAAGGAACCAGATCCTCCCTCTTTCAAGCATTCATTATGCAGACTGGAGTAGAGCCAGGTTTATCTGTTCTACCTGTTTATCGTGTTAACTCCTACTGCTAGTGAAAGGAGTAAGCAGGGAGAATAGCTCCTCTTTTCTCTCATTTAGAGGCAGCATA